ATGGCTTTTCTTTTTTACTTTGTTTATTGTGTTTTGTGATCCACAGGAGTCTTTACTTTTATTATGGGTAAAATTTATCAACTTCTTTGTTTAGAGTTTGGGCTTCTTATGTCTTAGAAAATTCTTCCCTATTCCTAAATCATAAAGATAATCTGCTTTTCACATTTTGAGTTCTCTAACCTACTTGGAATTGATTTTTGCATGATTTCAAGTTACAATCCAAATTTTCACATACAGATAATCAAAAGTCCCAGTAGCACATCTTTAACAGTGTATCTCATCCTTATTTCATCATTTACTGTTTTAATGCATAAATGGATAAATTTTATAATTTTTAAATTTGCCCATGTTCTTCTTTAATTAAAAAGGGAGATTGGCCATCCTATTTGCCTTTGTATCCCTGGCCTTAAAACATAGTAGTTCTTTAGTAATAGTCATTGAATAGTCATTGAATGCTGAGTACGAACAGGTAAAAAGAAAACAGGCAGCAGCACATACAAATCATGCCACAGAAAAGAATCAAGTGTCAAAAGAAAAGGCTGCAAGGGTCGGCAAAGTTTGATCATAAGGAGAAATTTATTTTGTAAATAATGAGAAATGAGTAAATTTAAGCAGAAAAATTACACAGGAAGAAATGTGTTTCCTAAAGATTAGCAAAACTTAAAGTCTGACAAAAACAAGTATTATGACAATATAGAGCAATAGAAGCAGACACTCACCCTGCTGGTGAAGGGAAAATAAACTGTTATAACACCAAGGAGGGAAACTTGATAACAACTTGTAGAGCTGAAGATATGTACATTCTATAGCCTAGCAATTCCATGTCTACTATTTATCTCCACAGAACTCTTACACATTCATGAGGAGACAGGTATAAAAATATTTACTGAGGCATTGTATGTTAAAATTGAAAAACTGGAAACAATCTAACATATATCAACAGGAAAAAAAATGAATATATAATGGCACAGTAATACACTGTAATACCATTCGATAATTAAAATAATTAGAAATATATGTGTTATCATGAACAAATCTCTAAGACAATACTGAACAAAAAAGGCAAGTTCCTAAAGATCCAAACTGCATAATACTTATATAAAGTAAATAGTTCTATGTTTTGTTTACAAATATACAGAAATGTGGATAAAGAACCAAATCATGTATGAAAATAACACTAAATTCAGGATAGTAGTTACTTTTGGGCAAGAAGTGCAAGGAACAGAATCAAAGCATCAATAGGATTATTAATGTTTAATTCAAAAACATAGAGATCTGAAGCAAATACAGCAAAACATTAAGAATTGACAAAGCTGGATTACGGGCGTTTGAGTGTTCATTACATTATTCTCTCTGGTTTTCTAACGAAGAAAAGATTACTCTGATGGCAGTAAGGAAAATGGACTGGAGTAGGGAGAAGTAAAATGGAAACAAAGAAGGCAATTATAATACTTTTGAAATCTACTGAGAAATGACAAGCAGTGACAATGAGGCTAAAAAAGGAACGGGAGAGAGGAGTAGACCTGAGAGATATTTAGAAAACAAAATCAGCAGGATTAGGTGGCAGATCAGATACAAGATGTAAGTGTAAAGGGGAAATCCTAGGTTCAATGTCATTCTTTCTGAAAATAGGAAAGTAAGAAAAGAGGGTTTTAAAAAGACAGTGAGATCCTTTTTGGAATTTGTTAAGTTTGAAGGACCCATTCAATACAAAGATTCAATAGAATGCAATATGCAAAGTGGTTATAGCACAGGCTCTGGAATCAGTTGTCCTGGGTTCAAATTCACTTAAACACATTAATTAACCACTCCAAGCCTCAGTTTCCATGTCTATAAAAAGGGAGGATGTTAATAAAATCATTATTCTCATAGCATTTTTGTAAGAATGAAATTAGAAAATGCCTCTCAAGTTCTGATCAAAGTATTCAACACAAACATTACTCAATAAATGCAACAGCTACTATCGATGAACACTTGTTTCTCATAGTACTCACTTCTATCACATACATCACTTAGAACTCTTCAGTGATTCCACTTTTGTTCCTGGAGCACTGATTTCCATAAATTATATTCTGTTGTATGGACAGGTTTTTATAAAGTTTTCAAGATGCTTGACATTATACCTTATTTAGAACTGCTGAATAATTTCACTTGTCAGCATCATTTTCCAACTAAAGAATATACCCTTTTTCATTGGAAAGTATTATGCATGAGATTTAGGCCTAATTCCTAAGAATTCTACTACATACATACATTCACAAGTAGAAAGCTTAAAAACAATATGCCAGACCCTTGGGATTGATAACAATAAACAAGGCAGAAACTGCACTAACCAAATTAGACTCTATACATGTCTTACCAACAAATAATTACAATGGAGTGTGAGAAATGTTAAAATACAGGACAAACGGGTACTACAGAACACAGACAAAAGGAATTCTCTCAGAATTTGAGAGTTAAGTAGGGAATCCTAAAGGATGGGGTCATCTCAATATGAGGGATAAGTTGTTAGTGGAATAAGGCACAAAGGTGAAAGTAGGATTTTAAAAAATAGTGTCTGAAGCAAAACGTTTTCTTCTAACACTTAGAACTGACAGAGCACAGCCTGCTGAGGAAGCTAACAAAAGTTTGGCACACATAAAGCATGCAGTGTAAGTATAGAATACTGGAGCATGAAGCTGGTGACATGCAGAAAAGAGACCGGGAGGAACCCTGTAAGTCATACTCTACGTGATACAATTCAATGAGATAATGCTTAAAAGCGCTTAGCACAGTTCCTGGTACAAAATAAGCATACACTAATTGTTAAACATTATTCACTTACTACTAGCTAATACTCTCCCCGTACTAGGCAGGAGGATCGCTTAAGACCAGGAGTTTGAGGCTGTAACGAACCATGGTCCTGCCACTGTTCTCCATCCTGGGCAACAGAGCAAAACACTCTCACACACTCTCACACACACACACACACTCACTCTCTCTCTCTCTCTCTCACTCTCTCTCTCTCTCTCTCTCTCACACACACACACACACACACAAATATTCTAACATTTTTGTCACAATTTGGATTCAAACAATACACCCACCAAGAAATATTTTCCACCAATATTTTACTTAGTTGGTTGCCAGAAAAAAAAGTAAATATGGTACTTACTAAACATCTTAAAGAATCTGTTCTTTCTGTAAAATGGGCACAGTAATACCAACCTTGTAGGTCTACTATAATGAATAAAGTGAGTGTGAAGAGTTCTTCGAAAAGTGACCCCCAGAAATGGTTCCAAGACAGACAGACCAGCAGACAAATCAGAGAAATAGAAAAGCTGGAAGCTTTAGCTTCACTTTGGGGTTATGCGATAGGAATGCCTTAGAAATAAAGTCATTTTAGGACCAACTCCCTTTGGTGATGGGGTAAGATGTATGCACCAAAACTATTAAAGTTATAATAAAATGAATCAATACCATTCTGATGATGTGTTTACTTTTTTGTAATATGCATGCTTTTCCAAAAAATAAAACCTAGTCTTCTGTAATTTTCTTTTTTCAAAATAACCCTGTATTAAAAGTTTTATATATATGTGTGTGTGTGTGTGTATATATATATATAAAAAAAACTTCCAAAATCCCATTTCACTTTACATATTTCTTTCCAAGTACTTTAAAAACAATAATTAGAAGGCTTTTCTACTCCACATCATACTGTTCTAAGACTCAAACCCAATGGATATTGGATTAGTAGTACTCACTTTTGCAAAAGCAAAATAACAAAATCTCTGGGTATATTAGTCAATTTATCATAATTAGATTTACATCCAACCTTCAAGAAGCATATCTGGGATTTAAAAAGAGGTCCCCTGTAAAAATTTTAGAGCATGTAATTTTTGTCTGATTCTAAATTCTCTGACAACCTAAAACATTTATTAATACTTCTAGTCCCTCCTTTTGCTTACAAATGAATCTTATTCAATGGCAGCTAAATTCTAAGAAGATTTTATTGACATTAATCCTAAACGTCAATAAAATATCACAATACTTTCATAAGGGAAGCATCAAGCTGCCATCACTTCCTTAACAAGTGAAGAAAATTCTACCTGGAATAAACTAAAAGATGATCTTAAAACCAAACAGATATTTTTTCACCCTACTATACAATTATTATTACCAGAAAATCATAAGTGAACTGAACGTTAAGTTAAATTTCCTAAGATTAAAAAACTCAATTGAGTATAAAAAGCTTACTTGAGAATTTTCAAATATGGAATCCTTCAGCATTACTAAAATTATAAATTCAAAGGAGATAAGAATATCCTCAGGACTTCTTACAGAGAAGGTTTTGGAAAGTTATTATTACAGAAAGAAGAAAAAAAAAATCTCATGAATCTTAGTGTCACAAGTACTACTAAATATCTGCTTAGGGTTCACATAAATGCCCTCAATAATTCCTCATTATACCTCAAGATCAAATCATTTAAATTTGCTGATGCTAAACATCAATTATTATACTATGAGCATTCCCTACAATAAGGTTATTTAACTGCTGCCTCTTAAGGACACATTCTCCTAGTCCTCATTATTTAATAAGTAAAAATGCCAAGGAATGAGTGAATTATACTGGAAATCATATAAATAAGTGTCAAAAAAAAAAATCCCAGAACTACTAAAAGTTCTAAGCTACTAAAAGAGCAAATTTTATGTTTTTAGTCTTGAAATACAATACGATAAAGCAAAATCCATTAGTGTTTAAAATAACTATTTAATGACTATCCATGACAAAATATTTACTACCTCTCTGCCAATCAGTCTTCAAAGAAAATAGCAAATCTAGGTATAGAACAAGCAAATTAATCACACTGCATTTTAATACCAATTCATCAACTGATTTCAATTGATAAAATACACTTCTTATGTAGAAATTTCTCAAATATATCATTCAGCTTAAGGCTTTTAAGCATACATCTTTCTTCTATTCCAGTAACATTTTTAAAAATCTCTAGTAAACCTACCTTTGAGGTTCTTTGAAGTTGATCACCAACATATGTTTTACGAAATTGATCCAAGAACCACAAAATTGCAAGCTCTATCTTCTCATTAGAACACTGAGGCAATCCAGAATCCATTAAAGATATGAGCTGAAAAACTCTTTTCATGAAAGAAAGAAACAGGCTTCAGTACAAAATCTTAGAGAAACAACATTAAAACATTTATCATAAATGCAATATAATATGTAATCACTGTAAAAAGTGGGGAAATACAAAAGCATATACAAAAACTATTTTTTAAAGCATCTGAAATCCTAACACTGAGAGATAACTACAATTTGGTCTAACTCCTTCTAGCCT